AATGCACCTTTTTACAATTCACTATACTTGTTTACCATTAAATCTTCTTCGTCGATAGCGGTTACAGCCGAAAACATCGCGGACGAAAACGTCGCGGAGAAAACAACGCAAGGCGAAAACGTCGTGATACAAAACATCGTGGGAGAAAACATCGCAAAGAGAAAACATCGCAGATCTAAAACATTGTGGTACAAAACATCGTCGTTGAAAATACAAGCGGTTCAAAAACTTCGCAGTTTAAAAACATCCTCGTCGAAAATATCGAGGTAAAAAATAAAGTGTCTACAAATCATCGCATGACGATAATATCGCAGACATGCTTTTTCATTTTCAGGCTTTTAATAATTATTAAATGGATATTTCTAATAATGGTTTGAGAGCGCAAGATGTAAAGAAGGATAATTTTTACCTTCACATTTTTTATTAACTAATAAATTTTGCTGAAAAAGTAAGAAGGAAATTTAAGCATAGAAAATTAAGGCAACTTATAGGCACTTAATAATTTTAAACTGAACATAGTTAACTAACAAAGGTCATTAATAAATCATTTTTTTATAAAGTTGTACTGGTAATTTTTCATAAAAGTTAATAAAAAAATGTTTAGAAAAGGGAAGCTACGTAACTGCATGACCTATCTATAAAAAATTGCTAATTATGAGATATTTTCTTCACTTTTGTCAATCTAATACTCTTAATGAAATTATTTTTTTGCTTCAGTTATTCTTAAGTATAAGTTCCTTCTTACTTTTTAGCAAGAATTGATTAGTTAATAAAAAATATGAAAGTAAAAATTATCTTTCTTTCCATCTCGCGCTCACAATCATTATGGGAATACCCATTTACAATTATTAAAGCCTGAAAAAAGCAGGTCTGCGATGTTATCGTCCTGCGATGATTGTTGATACATTATTTTTGCCGCGATATTTTCGACGACGATGTTTTTAAACTGCGAAGTTTTTGAACCGCTTTATTTTCGACGACGATATTTTGTACAACGATGTTTTAGAACTGCGATGTTTTCTCTTTGCGATGTTTTCTCCCACGATGTTTTGTAGCACGACGTTTTCGCCTTGCGTTGTTTTCTCTGCGACGTTTTCGCCCGCGATGATTTTGCCACGATGTTATCGGCGGACACCTCGATAGCGCATAAGCCACAATAGAATAAATGCACTCTTTAAAATTCACTATATTTGTTTACTATAGCGACACTCTGGCCCTAGGTTCACTTAACATCGCTAAATTTCAATCATTTTTTAACTTAGAATGCACAAAATTTATAGCATTTTAAGAATTATCTAATCGTTGCCACATGTTCTATTCAAGTACTATAATAAATGTAAAACGATTAAAGGGAAAGGAAAATAGGTTGCTATAAGTTAAAAAGTTCTCCAAGTGATTCTTGGAGCAAACTGAAAAAAATGCCCCAAAATGAATTTTTAAATTTCTCCATAAATTTCGCCCTTAATTTAAAAATAATTAATACGTAAGCATAACTTGAGGCATGGAATCGAAATATGGAAAACATTACTATTTTAAATTGCAAAAAATTGCTATTTCTAAATTTCAGAAAAAGTCACATTTTGTGTCAAATTACCTATATCAAAATAGTGCTATATATAAATCTAATATACATCCTAAGTCGCGCTTTCGAGACATGTAAAACGCAATTTGAATTTCGTCAATCTGCCGAGTAGAACAAGAGATACAAAACTGCGCCCCCCCTTTTTTTTTTTTTTTTTTTTTTTTTTATTCTTTGTGCTGAGTACATTAATTTCTGCTTGTGAGTCATGCTTGTTTCTATTTACGAATCAAGCTTATAATATAAAAAGAAAATAGCAATAACGGTTAGTGTCATGTTAAGGTTCATTACTTCTTTATTTAATCCCCTCGTGAGTACGACTCGAAAGAATTCAGAACTTTGAAAGCAACAACTGTAATGAAATAACTTCACAGTTTGAGACTGCTCAGAAAAAATTGTTAAAAGTAAAAAAAAAACTCTCAGAAACGACCTTCAAGCACTGTCTTTCTTGACTCATATATCTCGTAAACAATTTAAGACAAGTTAACGATTAAAAAAAAAATCGCTAAGAGTCTCTACTCGTTTACCTTGGAAATACGCATGTTTCGAAACACAAAGCTTAATAAATCGCATTCAGCTTCATTATTTCTTTTTGTAACATTTTACAGACGTCAACACACATTTTCTATGTATATATTAAGATAAGGAAAATTCTAATAAATATTTCTGAATTACTTTTGTAAATTTTAGCATCAAATTAAAGATTTTACAGCTGAGCATTATAAAGGAAGATGTTTAAACAAATAAATAAGATTTCCTCATCCCTTAACCTTAGTCGTATAAGGCCAACCAGCAGCCGAGCGGTAAAATTACCGAACGCTGGTAGTTTCGACCTGGGCTACATGGGTATTTTTCTGCTTTTTCCCTTTGTAACTTGTAAACGAGACAGTTTTCCTTAGAAAGTCCTCTTCGAAGACATCCCTTCCCTTAGGCAGATAGCCCTAGTGTGCTTTGCCATAATAAAATAAACCACGTCAAACCAAACGTCAAATATTAAAGCTAAAGTAACACAGTTCTTTATTTGAGAAAAGCTGCACTTCCATTTTTTAGATATTACAAACATAAGTAAATAAAACAATCTCAGTTCATTTATGAGGTTTAAAGATGTAGCTCAGACTGATAGCAACAAATATATTTGAACTGAAAACCAAAGCGAAATCATTCAGTTTTTTGCTCAATATTTATGTTTCATCTTAGTATATTTATATCCAAGATCTTTGACAAAATTATAAGGTAATTTCACTCTCCTTACCGCATGCCTTCGTGGTATAATTGGAAGCATTCTCAACGCGTATTCGAGAGGTCCAGGATTGGAGACCAGGTGAGGGCATTGCACATTTTCCAAACTCTAAATCGCCGTTCCCACTGGGGTTTGTCTGAGTTAACGGAGTGAGTTCCCTGTGTCGACTAGCTCCGCTGTGCCTACAGTTCCGATTTTTCAACTTGCTGCTATATGGAAAAAAACTGGTTTTGGGGATGGATCGACTACGTTAGTTGTGTTCGTTAGCTCAGATAAACCCCAGTGGGAACGGGCCTTAATGATTCTACAAGTCTCAACGAAAAGGTGCTGGACGATAATTCGTCAACACCAGGATCATTGTATATTGTTGCGAAGTGCCAGATGCACTAAGATAGTTTACCCGGAAAACGAGGTTAGGGTTGCCCGAAAAGGGCAGGCAAAGGTAGGGTTGCAAGATTTGGCGCGAAATGTGACGACAAAATTGGCGATATGCCACAGACGAAGCAAGAACATTCTTGAACGCATTCTTAGCGCTTTGCCCGAGAATATCCTCGAAGGTAGAAAGCTATATAAACCCTGCCTGTACGCGGAGTTGCAGTATTTTGAATTAAATAATGTAGTAGTGTCTTGAGTTCAGAGATAAGCTTGAGAGCGATCGACCGAGTCGGGAGCTGTACTTAAGTGCTCAGCCGTGAACCTGTCTTTATCCTTAGCCTGAAGGCTGTGTCCCTGATTGTTTCAGTTTGTTTATCGTAGTTTTTCAACGACTGTAACCATGTCTTTGGAGCTGTCCTGTGTAATACTGGCAAATAAATTGTGTTTTGATTCTTCGTCAAGTTATCAGGTTCAGTGTTTCTCCTTACTTGCTTGGGGAACATTCAAGAACCTGACTCGGAACAGGGAGCTTACTAAAGCTATGTTCAATAAATGTGGGAAGTAGACAAGATACACAGGAAGGGTATACGAAACCCTTTATTTTTCTCCCTTTACAATGATTTCCGGACTTCGGAATACAGAGACCAACCACTTGTGGTCTGAAAGTAAGAATATAAAAATATTAACTAAACTCTAACTTAACTTTGGAATAATAAACAAGGGCCTACGTGGAAGATTGGCCGTATATTAACAGGAAGCCGTATGTAGTACAGAGAACTGTTAACACTACAATACGTTTAAAAATTATTAAGAGGATTAAACCTCTGGCCTGGAAGGCAACCAGCAACCGAGTAAAACTTCTAAGGGCAAAGCGGCCTGCTTCTACTAACTCCTTCCCTCTCTCTCGCTTGGCAAAAAGCCACAACTTAAGTACTTGGCGTTCGCCAGACAAATTTGCATAAATAAGTTAACGCTTTTAATTTCTGGCCGGAAGTAGAAAATAAGAAGTGATAGTAAAGATTTAAAATAAAATAAACGTTAGTAAAACTTAAGATCCTTACAAAGTGTTATCATCAGTTACTCCAAATCCACTAACCCGTATAACGCAACAATATTTTTCATGTCTTCTGCTCCGAATAAACCTATGGGCTCTGTATATTTTTAAACAAACTAATACACCATCTTTCTCAAAGCCCTTTTTTTTTTAGTTCTGAGTGATGATCGCATGCATGTATTTTAGAAATCTTTGACCACACTGTTTTTATTTTTACGCTTTCGTTTTGTTTAATCGCTTGTGGCAAAGCACGAGAAAATTATTCTTCTGAGAGAACAGACGGAGTACCTTTCTTAAGTAAACTGACTCTCAGTCACATTACACATGGCTAAAACCACGAAACTTCCCTTGCAGCCAGCTCATCCAAGGCGATTGGAACCTCGGTCGAACTACCAGTATTCAGCGGCCTCATCAAGCCAGCGCCTGTTTGGGCTAACAAAATCTCAAATTAAATTGCAAGATACTCATGGCACATTGCCTGGATATTGGTGATCTACGAAAATCAACTTAAGTATTTCTTGCAAGAACGTTAAGCTTCAGAAATATAAAGCGGTAATACAACTCTTCTAACAGAGCAATGTATGAAACTGTATGATACTGCTCTAAGAATTCAAGTCAAGATTCTTGATATATAAAACTTCCTGTAGAAAAGATATAATTCTTCTTGTATTTTGCAATTCAGATAGAAATTTCATAACAGATTATGAATTAGTTTTAGAAAAATGGTAACAGAATATATTATTACTACTTACAGTACTTTGTTGCTACTAAAAGATCCTTCAGTTTCACTGTATGGATGTACTGATAAGTCCCTTTGTTATTCAGCAGCTGCCATGTACCGTTTTCACTGTAATTCAACTCGTCTGGTGAAGTTCCATACAGCACAGTTGTCAGGTCGGTGCTCTTGAACGTGCTCCACATTATGGTCATTTCGTTAATTCTTTCTACATAAGGAAAGAAAAGCATAAATTTAGTACATCTACGTGTATCAAAATCAACATTTTGAAAGAATAATTGAACTGCAAGACTAAGAATTAAAACATCGTAAGAGATACAAGAAGTAATGTCCTCTGTTATGAAGTGTGCAATAGGCCTTCAGTAAGCATTGTATGTACACTCGTGTGAACAATTAAGAGAATTTTCACATTATGTCGAATTCCTGAAATACTAAAGGACAAATTTTAGTGAAATTTGGTACGAATGTGCATTTATAACACAGAAACAAATGTCCCATTCAAAAGTTATTTTACGTACGTAAGTGTCATTATCAGCAAATATCATTGTACAGATATGTCCAAAATCTACGTTATGATATCGAACTGAAAATGAGCCTCGTGTGGTGTATGGTCCTCTCTCGCCGCCAGACAGGTTGCGCAGTGTAACAGCATACTGGACAGGAGGCAGGAGTCCTTGTGGCAGTCGGTCCCACTCCTGCAGCAAGGTAATTTGCTACTCCGGGATGATTCTCGGAGGAGGATGACGAGATGAATGTGCCTCCCAAGAGCGTCTTAAACATGCTCTGATAACTGGATCAGGATAACTGGCTTGCGAATCTAAGCGGTGAATATTCTTACTTTCAAGGTAATCATCGAAAGCTGAGCCCTATGTGTACCAGCGTTTTTTTCTTTAACAAGGACCCAGGATCAATTGCAACCCCCCCCCCAGTGTTAGAGATAAGGATATCTGGCTTGCGAATCCAAGTGGTGGATATTCCCACTTTCAAGGTAATTGTCGAAAGCTGAGCCCTATGTAGACCAGCGTTTTTTCATGAACAGGGACCCAGGACCAATTGCCACCCCCAGAAAATTCAAACATAGGGCTCTAAGGTTTCCTCTATATACCTCATAGCAGTGGGAAAGCCTTTGTAAACACAAGCACGAAGACATTACCAGTTGACCCACGGTACATCGCTGGTCCCCATACCTTTATTTGTACCTGTGTCTGTGTTGCTATCCAACATGATGCCTGCCCAAACCATTACTCCTCCACCACTGTAATGATCCTTTTTCCTGCCGAACGGATTATATAGTATTCCTGGCTCTCTCCGGATACGGTACGCTGAGAATCAGTGTCCAAGCTGAATCTCGACTCATCTGTATTGTAAAATGTAAGATGCTCCACTGAAATCTGGTCCATGGCTCATGTTGTCTGTACCATATTAAACGCTCTCTCCTGTGCGCTGCTGTTAGTGGGCCGCAAATAGAGGGTTTCTTGGCACACAGCAAGTCTTACCTCAGCAAGCTTTCTGGCAACTATAGACCGTGGAACTCGTAACATATAGCTCACAGGAAAGCTGTTACGCTGTAGGAGTCCTGTATCCCCACGCTGAAAATGCCAAATAACCATCTTCATTCGTCGTTGTGGATCTTGGTAGACTTTGTACAGGTCTTTTCAGTATGCGTCCAGTGTCCTGAAGCTCTTTCCACAAAATGCAGGTGACGCGGGGCGTTACTTGAGCTCTGTAGACACCTGCGCTTGTGATTTGCCTGCCTTAATCTACTGACAATTCTGTCATCTATATGTTCGTAGCTACTCATTTTACCTGATACCTTACATAATTTACCCAACTTTTTCAAGAAACACGGCGAATGGCATGAAGGAGTACGAGGCCCACAAATCACCGGAAATCAAGTTGTGCGCTTATATTTCCTTCCCAATCACAATTCAGCAGAAATGCGTGTGTACGCGTACGTAATGGACTCGAATATTTGCATAATTCTTAGGCCGCATAATTTGTGTCATACTTTTATAAAAATATACTTAATTTGGAAATTGTCATAATTTTGCACCCAAGCGTACTTCTAATAGACGCTGTATTAGTAGTATTACTGAATGTTATTGTCTAACCTGATTCCACATTTTGTGTTACCACATTTTATTATCTCCCGCCATCCTTTATGCAAAGACAAGAGTATGGAGACATTAGATTATTTCGATGCTGGAAACGTGAAAAATGAGCAATGCCCTCGCCAGGACTCGAACCACGGACCTCTCGAATACGTGCCGAGCATGCTGACCACTACACCACGAAGGCATGCTAAGAAGGCGGGAGAAGTACCTTACGAGGGAGGTAATGTTTTCATTCCAAATATTTAATAGTGAGTTTGCAGTGAATAAACATGAATTATGGTTTTTCCTATTTTTATAAAAAATATATTTTTGTATGTTTGTATGATTTAAGCTTTCTGCATTCATAAAAAGAGCCGATTAGATCTGCGGTAAGATTCTACAACCGAAAGTGGCACTTTACTTGAAACCAATAACAGTTTTGGGAGCAATCAACATAAAATATTCTTGCATATATATAAACTATAATAAATTGTTCCAATTAAAGGAATATTTTTTATTGATACCTAAATATCACGTGGATATACAAAATGAAGTCAGATTTATTAAATAGAAATAACGTACTATAGAATAAAATTAAATTATGGTGTTGGTTTCAAAGTATTTATTTTAAATATGTTATAAACACTTTATTTTCTTTAATTAAAACCCACATAAAATTGTATATTATTCAATTGGTCCAATAGAACACCTTTTTTAGTAAAATTAGTAAGGGCCAAACGTTTGATTATATTGGTATAAATTAACAAAAACAGTTTTTAGCAGCACCAATTGCACCTAAAAAAAAACAATCCAAACTTTCGTATTACGCTCCTTTCTATTTATTGAAGCACATTATATTTTGTTTGCAAACGATCTACCGGAAGTGATATTTTGCTTTGAACATGTTGCTATTTAAAACAAATTCAAAACTGGAATTGGAAATATGGACAAGATACGTGTTTGTCATATCGCATTTTCTTCTTTGAACGGAGTAAAGGAAGTATAGTAATTGCAAAATACTTCTGGTATCCTATTTCCCTTTTGACCGTTGCCGAATCCATTTAGATAATTTTTTTAATTTAAATAATTAACGCGAACAAACACACAAACAGACATTTTTCTTTATATGCGTAGATTTTGTAAAACTCACAAATTTTTGATTAAAAAACTCCACGATTTGAAAGCGAGCAGTAGCAACACTTTTGTAAATAAAACATTTTTATCTCGAACGCCCGAGATTGTTGCCACTGGGAAAAATGAGTGCGAAAATTAGCGCTTTCAGAGTTTTTAATTAATATTTCGGCTGATTAAAGTCGTACGAAGACGAGAATATCCGAAATGCCTTTCCACGAATTTTTAGAATCGGGAGCAATGTATTTAATGTTTGGCAACGCTATTTTTATTTCATCGTAAAACTCAGAAATTTTTTATTAGAAAACTCTAGAATTTGAAAGCGAGCAGTGGCAACAACTTTCGAAATAAAGGAGATTTTCATCTCTAGCTTGCGAGACAGTTGCCAGTCCGAAAAATGAGGGCGAAAGGGATCGTTTTTCCGAGTTTTTAATTAATATCTCTGATTTTAGCTATTTTTTATTTGAAAAAAGTGGACGTCGATCTTTTCTAGGGCAACAGAAAAGAATTGTAGAAAGTTTGGTGAAGATAGCTATAATAGTGACTGAGTTATTAGAGAACAAACACACAGACTTTCTTCCTTATATATATACATAAACTCAAAAATAATTAGACGTAGAAGGTTGAAATTTTGTTTATGGGAGACTGCTTTAACATCTAGATATACACCTCCCTTTTTTATTGCAATTGTCAGTGCCAATCACACACGTATATATATATATCCTCTTACCTGACTTACAAATCTTTATCCGGCCTTTATTTTCACAGTAGTTGGTTGTAGTCATAAACTTCCAATTACAGTAGTGTTTTAAGTAACAAATAAAGTCATGTCTTGACAATGTCAAATTTAAAAAACGTTAATTTTGGACAGATAACGAAATTTAACTTTTAAAACTGTCTCCCAATTCCTATACTTGTAATTGGAGCAGTTTCACATCGTTAAGAAAAAACAAAACTTTTAAGAATTTTGACTCCCGTACTGCAACAATTACCCGGGATATTCAATTTCAAAATTTGCAATTTCTGATGTCATTTTCAATTTTCGCTGAAAAATCAATTAACCAAATTATAATAATTCAAAGAACTATGTTTAAATAAAGTGTAACGAAAAGCGCGTACAATTTAACAGGTGGTACAAGGAAGTCATGTGATATCCACATCATTTTTTTATAGTCTTACACTATTATTAGTCCAAAGACGCAATTTGCCCTGAAGGACTATTATTTTCGTTTTGGCATTTTACGTTGATTCACTATAAATGTCCGATTCACTTTTCAAATTGTTGCCACTAAATATTATTGCCCTGTTTTATATTTAAAGGAATTAAATAATGAAGAATCTGCATAAATGTAGGAGTGTTTCTCGCATTGTGATAAAACAACGGTACCTAGAGCCATCCAATTTTGAATAACGTAGGTTTCTAACCGAATATGGGCATCTATAAACCCAAATTTGGAATTTGTTTTGTATCTGTTTGATATTTTGTAAAACTTTAACGATTTTTTGATTAACAAACTCAACGATTTCAAAGCAAGCATTGGCAATACTCTACGGGGGCGGGGACCTTTTCATCTCCAGCGCGTGGAACTGTTTATCGGATATTCTAAAGATATTGTTACGTTTTTTTTTTTTTTTTTATTCTTCTGACACCACTTGTTACGTTATTTTCTTCCTTCACGTTCGTATGGGGTTCGTAGATTTGGAGTGAATAACGACGACACTTGAAGTATCGAAACACACTTTATTTACCAATATTAATCAGGACACCTCTAAAACACTTTCATAGTCGTCGAAGATCTACAATACACTCGCTGGAACAATCAGCGACGCAGCCATTAGGCTATCGCGGTGAAGACAGCTTCACCGGAAAGCACCCGAGTACAGCTCCCAACTCTGCTTGGTCGTTCTCGGAACTCCGCGTACTCTCGAGACTCTCCACGCGATGAGCTCGACGATACACAAGAGTATAGCTCTCGACTCAGCA